AAAAAAAAAAAAAAGATGTGTTGTGCTATTCATACATTTTTACAGATGCATTCATCGCTATAACGTCGGACGCCAGCGAAAAAACTGCTTTTTAAAACTAAATAAATTTTACAAGAATTGACGCGATTTCATAACGACGACGCACCCGAGGAGGAGGATCGATTTCTTTTAGGATGCCTCAATCGTGTAGAGGAGGAGATTTACACGGAGCCAAGCACCAGCACAGCGATGATGATACAGTACGTTAACGGTAAAGCATGTACTTTTAAACAAAAAAGTCTACGGCTAATATACGTTTTATTTACAAAAAAAAGTGCCAGGACCAGCGACAACGCTGAGCAGACAAACGGCTGAAGAAGAAGAAGAAACGCATTACGGTACGTGGGGTATGTGTCATACAGCGTCGGAAAAAAAAAAAAAAGATGTGTTGTGCTATTCATACATTTTTACAGATGCATTCATCGCTATAACGTCGGACGCCAGCGAAAACGACGACGACCAGGATGATGTCGACGATCGCTCCACCGCTTCCAGCGATTCTAACGAGCACAACTCAGGTAATAATGATAAAGTACAGAAGCCGCTCAAAATGTATTTGTGTGAAAATAAAAAAGTAAAGAATTGTAGATTCGCTCGATGCGGCTATAGCCAACGATATTCGCGAACCTATTATACAGGGTGACCTGCTACCACTGCAGGATCAGAACAATGCTGAAGAACCGAAACTATGGGTTCTTAGAAACGGTGTGTACGTAGAGGCGGATGCCGACGAGGCTGCTGAAGTTTTAGCAGACCTCGATGATGATGATGATGATGAGAATCCAAACGACGTGGATACCTACGAAGAAGGTAGCGTATAAAGTTAGCTCCTTAGCGGTTAACGCTTTTTTTTTTGTCGAAATAGCTAACTTTAAAAAAAAATGTAGGGGGTGATGAAAACCAGTTAGACGCGCTATTCTCTTACATAGGGTTAGTGTTTAATACTTGCGAGGGATGATAAGTTAGTATGCGCTTAACACTTTTTTGTTTAACAATTAAAAATAAAAACTTTTTTTCCCAAACGTTAGATGCAGAAGACGATGGGATGTGTCGGCAGATCGGTGGTGGCCCCCTTCTTCGACCATAGAGCGACGACAATGACGCCGACGGAGGTATCAATAACGACGTGCTACCACCTGGATATAAATTTACAATAGAATCCGAAACGACACGTCGTATAAATAGGTTTCGTTTAGACGGGTGTGAAATAACAATGGCTATCCAGAGGCCGCCCGAAGACCCTGATACAGATACGGTATCATGGTTACACGGGGCAGTCAGAGATATACACGCGTAACTCACAAGCTCGTGTACTGCGCGGGACTATAATAGGTCTAACGATCAAATCCGACAGTTTTGCGTGCGGGGCAGCGTGGCTGTCGTACAGACCGGCTCGAGAGCTTCTCGAAAACGATGTGTGGGGTGTGATTTCGTCCGTCACGCAGAGTGCCCAGGCATTTCAAATAGATAGGTCTTTTGTCATCGAGTCGTGTATAGTCGAAGTACTGCGGGGTACAGGACGCGTGCGATTAGCGCACGAATTTGTAAAAAAACACTCTATACTGACTATAGCAAATAACGATAACCTCTGTCTACCTAGGTCGCTTGTTGTGGCGATGGTACACGCTGAACGCGGAGAGGTACGCTCTGGGGTGTTGCATGAGCGATGGAATGCTGTACGGTGTCAGCGGGGTAAATTACAAAAACAATTTGCTCTCGAGCTTGTGACAAACGCGTGTGCAGACATACCGCCGGACGATTGCGGTATTCCAGAAATTGATAAATTTCAAAGCTACCTAGTCCCGAGGGGTATAGCAATCGTTGTTTACGATTTTGACAGCATGGGTAGCGGCGAGAAACTGCTGTACGACGGTTCGCAAGCAGTTGATAAAGCGTACGGCTTACGGAAACCACGGCAAACGCTCCGCATCCTGTATTATAATAATTCGCAGCATTATCACCCTACTTTAAATATGCGGGGTGCGGTCGGTAGTCGTGGTTTTTGCATACCATGTAACAGATACTACGCGCACGAGGCAGAGCATAAGTGCTCCCACAAATGCGCTAGATGTTTCGGAAAACCGCCCTGCGATTCGGCTCTCCCCACATTGTATTGTCGCGAGTGCCATAGGTACTTTTTTGGTCAAACCTGTTTCGATAATCATATAAACACGCTATTTATCAAACAGAAGGAAAAAGAAAAGAGCGTATGTCAGGCCGTTCCCAGCTGTCCACAGTGTCTCAGGCCTCTTCAAAGAGCGCTGCGTAAACACTCTTGTGATAAGGTGTACTGCAGAGTCTGCAAGAGCGTTGACAAATTAGGCCATCAGTGTTACGTCAGACCGGTAAAAAGGCGCCCGTGGAAAAAAATATTCTATTCATTTTTTACGATTTTGACACACAGCAGATACAGAAGCTGCCCGGTGACGACACGGTACGCATCCACACACCAAACTTGTGTGTCGTTCTGCTTCTGGCACGGGTGCCCAAAATGTTATCGCATAAACAGGGATACGCTGTTGCACACGGGGGAATCTATGGATGCGCGCTTCGAGAGAACGCAGGCAATGGGTGATAAGATCCGGTATCTCGGTTACGAATTGACAGAAATCTGGGAGTGTGATTTCGATAGATGGATAAGCGATCCGGCACAGGCTACATTATGTAGAACATTGAATGAGAACCCGTTGGTAGCGCAACTACCGCTGGAACCCCGCGATGCTTTCTTCGGTGGACGTACAGGGAATACCGTCAGTTTTTACGAAGTCGAGGGTTCTGAGAGGATACACTACGTGAATGTGTGTTCGCTCTACCCCTTCATATCGAAAACAGGGAAATTTGGATACACTACGTGGATGTGTGCTCGCTCTATCCCTTCATATCGAAAATGGGGAAATTCCCTGTAGGTCACCCTAGAGTGTACGTGGGCAATGATTGTCGCGAACTAACGGGTGATCACAATAACATCGACAGCGTAGAGGGGCTGATTAAGTGTGTCGTGTTACCACCGCGAGATCTGTATCACCCCGTGTTACCGACACGCATGCACGGTAAATTGCTTTTCGCACTGTGTCGTTCCTGTGCAGAGTCAACGCTACAGGGCTCGTGTCCTCACGAGAATCCTGAGGATAGAATATTCGAAGGGACATGGGTTGTGGACGAGGTCAGACGCGCTGTACGTAAAGGATATCAAATAACGGCGATACACGAAATATGGCAATACGAGATCACTCAGTACGATCCGACGACACGGACGGGCGGTCACTTTGCCTATGGCAATACGAGATCACTCAGTACGATCCGACGACGCGGACGGGCGGCCACTTTGCCAGTTACATAAATACATTCCTGAAGATTAAGCAGGAGGCTAGCGTCTGGCCGCGCGAGTGCAGCGACGATGAGTCTAAGAAGCTGTATGTAGAGGAGTACGATCGGGTCGAGGGTATTCGACTAGATCCTGCTAATATAAAATCAAATCCCGGTCTGCGAGCAGTCGCCAAACTGTGTCTGAATTCCTTTTGGGGTAAGTTCGGGCAGCGCGAGAATCTACCTAAAACGGAAATCGTAACGACTCGTCAGAAGCTCGTGAGTTTGCTTACGTGCCCGGAGGTCGAAATTACGGGTATTCTACCCGTAGATGACGAAGTACTCTACGTTAACACGCGTAGTACGAGCGAATCGGTGATACCCACAGCGTACACAAACGTCGTTATAGCCGCGTACACCACGGCTCAAGCTCGTCTTAAGTTATATGACTATCTCGAGAAATTAGATCGACGCGTACTATATTACGACACCGACTCGTGTATATACGTATCGGGTGGTCGTCACGCCGATAACGCTTACGAGCCGCCGCTCGGCAGTCTTTTGGGCGATTTAACGGACGAGCTGGAGTCGTACGGTATTGGTAGCTACATCACGTCATTTGTATCGGGAGGTCCAAAATTTTACGCGTACCGGGTACGTAAGCCAGACGGTTCTCACGCAGAGGTCTGCAAAGTCAAAGGTATCACGATCGACCACGCGACGAGTCTTGCCATTAATTATGACTGGATACGGTCTTATGTAACGGGGGAGACCAGCGAAGCGGTCGTTTTACGCTATGACGCGATACGTCGTACTCCGTTTCACGACGTAGTGACACGTGTAGAATTAAAAACGTGTAAACCGACAGAGCTTCAAAAACGGCGACGCGACGGTCGTGTCGGATCGTTGCCGTACGGATTTATGTAGCTAATATTACCAACAAAAAAGTTGTACAAATGTATATATCATCCTAAACAATAACTGAGCGTGTGGCTTTATGTCACCACTATTATAAAAAAAATAATTGTACAAACGTATATACAACACTGAACAATATTTTACCGTACGGTTTTATGTAACTAATATTACCAAAATATGTGCAAATGTATATACAACCCTGAGCACTAATAGTACAGATAATAAACGTATTAATTTGAAAAACAAGAAAAATCTCTTTTACCGATCTATCCCCGAAGGCTCTACCAGCCCGTCCACGTTATGTTTTTTTTTTTTTCAGCGGCGCTTCGGACATGCTAGCAGTGCACGGTGGCTAGCGATATGGTTGACGCACATACAGGCAGGCAGTTAGCTCACAGGTGCATGATGAGCTCACCCACACCAGGGGCTAGCAACGTCACCGATAAGAGCTAGCAAGCGCGCGCGACGTACGAACCTCACGCGTGTCGCGCGCCCGCCGCGCCCGGCCACCGCGATTGTAAGCCTGTAAAACCCTGTAAACTCTCTAATAGTATATTCGAAAACACGCATCGCTGTTGAGACGCTTATCCAGACCGGGTTCAGCCGTCGAAACTAGAAAACGTCTTATTGTTCAGAGCGGTGGTTTTTTACCTCTTCTGCTAGCACGCATACTGGGCACCGTCATATCGAAATTCATAGGGGGAAGTGGATAGGGGTATATGCCGCGAAGAGAGAGACAGATCGAGATGGAGCATGCCAAAAAGATGGTTCTCATCCCTCAGGAGAGCGTGGAGCAGCAGCACTACCTGTCAATGCCTCATACACCCCACCAACACCACCGTCGACACCGTAAACACCGTGCAGACCCCTGGGACCCCCTTAAGCAGAT